CATCATTTTCTGCCCCTGCCTCTCCACAACATATTTCCTCTCATGCCTTGTTGATATGGCTGCTTCCAGCACTATCTTCACTGTATGTACAGCCTCTGCACCCGCTTCTCCATAAACTGCAAAATTATCTCTTCAAAATCTCCATTTGGAGATAATTCACCCTCTTCTCTTTCAACTTTAAATTGTCCAACAGATTCTTCATTATATCTGTGACTCTTGAAGCCATCTACAATCACCTCATTTGTAGATATAACTGCTCTGGAACAATCACCGCCCTGGGGCAACAACAAAGAACATAACTATGTTTTTTTAAGCAAAGAACACAATCATCTCAAAGTACAGTCTTTAAATTAATAAAACCATGGAAAGCTCAAGTGAAACTAAATTGTTAACCACAAAAAACTTTGAACAGAAAACTGATGCCAGAACATACACATTCAATGTAAGACATTCAACTACTAATCACATATTATCAAGAATTGGACTAACAGACAGTTGCATTAGGAAGTTAGACAGAAACGCAATGCAAGTTATTTGAAACCAGAACAGGAGGGAATGAGTTGTATGAAAATATAAGAAACAGCTTGGGAGGCTGTCTTTTTGGCACACAGACTAAATAGAATCATAACTATAATGTCCATAACCAACTAAATCTACTGATGGATATGTTAATTGTCTTAGAATGACCATTCAAAAGTACATTCTCTCTTGCTACAGCAGAAGCCAAGCATACTATTCACTTATAATTTCTACTAAGCTCTCAAAAAGCATCAAAATGAAGTCAAAACATAATGGAGGCAAAATTTCCTACTTGAGAATCAATTAACATGTGTATCCTACATCTGTTCGGAATTACATTACCTCTGTTGAGGGAATATTTTCATTAATTGACTTCAAGTCCAGCCCAACTTGAGTACCAACATTACAGGGTCGGGAAGAACTAGCAGTAAGCCCTTGTAACAAAAAATGTGTCTCAGTTCAGCCATGATTTGAACATGAAAACCCTCAATAATATGCTCAAATGAGTTTAAAAACATCAATATACCTGCTATATTTTCAGCACCAGTTCTGGCATTACTTTGCTCCACTGCAGAAGTAACTGCCGTGTTTGAACTAATCAACTGTTCATTTGAACTAGCTTGCTTGGTGACCCCTGATATTTCATCAGTGGTAGCTGCATTATTCTGCACCTTATCCTGTTGCATAATATCACAGAAGGTGCCATTCTTACGAGCAGTAGCTTCTCTATCTGCAGAACCATCTTCTTTGACCACATTATCTCCATTCAGCATACGGGCCCTGCAAACACTTGATTGATCTAGTAGAGTACTTTCATCACCATTCCTAGAAGGATTTAAATGTTTGGAGTTTATAATAGTGGCACCGCCACCAGGACTACCCTCACTCTCGCCAACACTTGCAGCACCATTTCTAACAGGGTTGTTCTTAGATTTCACAACATCTTCAGTATCCTCAGCACCTTGAGGCCGAGAAGGTACGCCAAACATGGGTTCCAAGAAGGTTGTCCATATTTTCATTACCTTGTCCAACTGTTCGGTTGTACACATCTCGCCACATGAATATTTGATTAGCTGATAAAGGTCTTCATGAATATCAGGATCCGAATACTCAAATTCCAAATTTGGAATTATTGGTCGCCTACTTCCAGCAGCAATGGCAAGAAGCACATCATCTTCTTTACGCTTTTTCTCACTTATCTCTTTGATCTCTGCCAGTAAGGCTGTAAAAAGGGCATGAAAAAATAGTCAATGAGAAAGTGAAAGCAATACATGCATTCCCAATAATCAATGAGAAAGTTGAATTTACTTAACATAGTTTTCTACTCGGTATAATTCTGCATTTCCTCTCACATCCAGAATTCTCTTTTTTTTTTCCTCCAAAGTTTATAGTTTTTCCTCTAAAAGTCTTAAAATAAATTGTACTATTCTTTGGTTATAAATACCCTAAAGAATAGGAATGATATTTGCAGCAAATTTATTAGCTGCCAGGCATGAAGCAGCTAAGTTATACAACAAGTTCAAAGCAGTGTTATGAAGAAAATACTTGCTAAAATTTTTCTTACCAAAATAAGCAAGTAAAAAGGTAAAAGAAATTATCAAAACAATGCCTGGTCCCTTTGCTTACATGAGAGTCTGAGAATACAAGATCATAACAGAGACGTATTTATTCACTAATTTGTTACTTAAGGTAGCTTATTCAAGACTATATTTATAGTACCACAATCATTATGATTACTGAGAGAGAAAATTTGTTGTTCACTATGATTTTAATAAAGATAGGTACAAAAAATACAAAGCTGTAGATACCTTTAGTGCCCAGGTTCTTTGAATCCTGCTGCTTGAAATAGAAACTGCGATGATCTAGCGATTTATGATAGTTCTTAGCGTAAATATCAGCCCAAACTTTATTGAAGTCAGAACGACACCTAGCCCACTCTTCTTGTTTCTGCTTCAAACGAGTTAGTATTACTGGTAAAGCAAGAGGAGCATTCTTCCTCAACACATCCATCACATCAAGTCCATGGTCACCATACAAGCGCTCTATACACCTTAGATTCAGAGCTACAAACAGATACATTTGAGTATATCCATCAGAAAATGGAAAAAAACAAATAGAAGAAATAGGAGAAGCAACTCGATATATAAATGGACGACAAGAAAAGGAGTATTCTTGGAGGTGGGAAAAAACATTTGTAATGGCTACATAGTAACTAATTTCATTAATCATCAATTATCATATAAACCTGTGAAGTGGTCCTCGATACGAATAGGACTCTCTGTTTTGATTGTATTGTTGGTAATCTTCTCTAATAGTTCTTCTACACGCTTGGTTGTTACATTCACAGACTCCAACAACATGTCCAGCTCAAACCTGATCGTATAGGATGTCATCCAATTCAAATAAATATTGTCAACACTCAAAATGTTGGAAATTATTTCAAAGAGTAGGCACAATAAAAGAAAGGGAAACCTCTAAAGTAAACAAGAAGTAGCATTCACAAAAATATTGCAGGAAAAATAGCAATCAGTTATAATTCTTATCACTTGTATGTTTAGAAAAAAACTAATAAGCATATAATATTTAGTCCAAGACAGGATCCAACCTGTCATCTTCACATCGAAAAAGGCTTTCTTCATACTGGTTTTTGCGCATATGTTTGAAAGAGTAATCCTCACTCCCTGAAGTGACAGACACCCAGTGATCATTAAGTACCTCAGCACCAAGCTCTGTTCTCTGGCTTGCTAAAGGTATTGGGTACTGTGTGAAACAAAGACAACAACCATGTGAATTCAAATAAGAGAAAAAGAAATGAGCCTACCAATAAAACACTCAGTTCACTAAATGTAAGACCATAACCACATACATTCTTTGGTAGAAGTCGATAGCTTGGAGTGCATCTTTCACAGTTAGAGAGATCAAGTTCATTAATGGGTTTTGCCAGATACTTGTCCTTGCTAGGGAATATAGACATCTTGTGATTTCCCACATCTTTATTGCCGAAAGCAACATTTTTGTCAAGTCTATCCCTCTCACGATTTTCACGGTCCCTATCTTTCACTCCATCAACCCTTTCACGATCTCGATCTCTATCCCTATCCTCTATCTTCACAGATTTTGGTAGGTGTCCTTCATTCCACAAAAATTCTGCAACCAATTAGCAACTTGGTAATTACAAACAAAGCAAGACGTAAATAGGGCTGAAACATGACTGAGGTTCTTGATGCATCACTTACAACATACCTATTCTTTTTCTCAAAAAAAATGGCTGAGGTTAGATTGGTTTGTAGAACTAAACAGGTCTAAATACACACCAAATTGAATTGAATGACTACCAAATACAGCCCTTTCAAATTGCTTTGATTCTTAGAATAGGAAATTTTAATTGTAATTTTCGCAATATATTGTAGAAAATACAAACTGCAAAGTTATGGCAGTTAACTTCAACCTCTCAGTTCAGTATGAAGCCAACTTTTGCTGATTCTTTGAAACTAAAATGGAACAGGGCATAACACCAAATTTCAGCTACAACTCAGTAAGGTTGGTACTTGAGTTGCCAGTTCCATCTGAACTGTTTTCCACTTTGTTTTGAATATCATAATCCCCAAAACCTCTCTCTATCTCAGATATTGAGCAGGGAGAAAAATCTAACCTAAAGATAAGTGTAAAATAAAGATGGTTCAACTTACTTTTACTCACAAATTCAGCAAGTAGTCCATCTGCAGAACAGGAGTCATATTAGATTTTGCAAATTTATAGAAGGCACCATAAGCATTTGATTGAAATTATTACCATGCTTTTCACAATATGCCAGGAACTCATTGAAGGCCTCCATATCATCTGGATATCTTCCAAGCAAATCACTTACCTGACACAAGCATAATGTTAGGTGAAATCCCTCCATCAAGCTTATCCAAAATAGAAAATAAAAATGGGCAAGCTAACAATTGTAGATTTCACAAACAGGTTAGGTATTTTTTTCTGAAAAAGAAAATTGGAAAGTTTACTAAGAAGTATATTTTTTAACCATACCAAAGCTTGCAACTCTGATCGTGTGATTATTTCTTTTGTATATAGATGAAGGCATCTCAAAAACTCCTGATAATCATCACCACTACATAACTTCTCTTTTACTCTCTCGAAAAAAGTAAACTCTTGGCTATACATACCTGTCACAGCACTGAATAAGTTAGGGAAGTAATTGAGGAGCAAAAAATTGTAGGGGTGGAGGATTAAGAACACCTCAAAAACCAAACTGCTGAAGTAAAAAGTAATGGTAAAAAGGTCAATCATCAGAAATACATGTGAGCAAGAGAAATATGTGCTGAAATATAAAAACTTGAAACACATGACATTCAACATGAGAGGAACCTAGAGAATTAATGGTTTTCATATGGTTGATATATAGTATATGACACTCTGGCGTCATTCCATGATTCTCAAGCCTTCCTCATTGTGATTAAAAACAAGATATCCAGGAAAGCATCTCATCAATCAAATGAAGTTCATTTAAGAAACTGCTGCCGCCGAAGAATTTAAAACAGAAAAAATACATGATCAATTAATAAAACCATTTCTAACTTTGCACTAAGGGAGCGTTTAAACTTTCAATTGCATGTGATTCATTCATTTATAGACAATAATGCAATTTCCATCAAGAGAACCAGGTTTTGTTTAGATGTAAAGAACAAAACAAAAAAAAAACAACAGAAAAGCTAAGAACTCACTCTTCACAGCATTTTTGTCATCATAAGAAGATGAAGTGGGACGTGTTCCAAAGTTTTCGTCACCTTCTCCACCTTGATGTGAATGTTCAGCAGTGAGTCTTCCACCCTGCGAGCAGATTTCCGTTTGTGGGGGAAACCGTTGCATATTCAAGTCTCTATTGCCATCATGGGTCAAAATCTCTATCATCC